CCATAGGTAAAGCAGGGGAACCACAGCAGCCAATGTCCTGTTTCTACAAAAAGTTGTTAATATATGCTCAAGAGATCCCAAAAAGAGGGCCATGCCCCCTGCTACAGAGGAAGGCAAAAAACCCTACATGCCTTACCAATCACACCCAATCTTATATGACCGCATCTCAGTGTGAGGTAGATAACTTGTGCTCATGCAAAGCCCTGCATCTGTCCAGAGGGCTTGCAAAGTACCTTTCCAGAACACCTCAAAAGTAGATACATGACCTAATCCTCTACCTGACCCAGTGGCATCACGATGTTCGGGGAACACCAAGGCATCACGGCTTTCTGCACATCTGAGCAGTGGGCAGGGGAAGAAATGGGGGTGGGAACAGCCCCGCTGCCCTGAGGATTGCTGCCCCCTCTTCGTATCACGCTCAAGGAGAAAGGAGCAGGTCAGGAGAAGCCATGGATTCTGCAGCTGACACATTTTTGAAAATGCAGTGTAGAGCAAAGGAGATTAGATGCCCTGAGCTGCAATCCTAGCAAATTTCCCGATCCTTTACTACCTTGATAAATCATTTATTCGAGCAGCCTTTTTACATAATCCCTGAAAAAAAAACATAAAATAGATTTATCACAAAATCCTGTCCTCCTACCAACCATCTTCAGACTGCTACATATATTTTTCTGATTATTAATTAACTGATGCACAGAAACAGCGGCAAGCTTTTTAACCTCTCCCTCACTCTCCCTTTGTCCTTCAAAAGCGGAGATCACAATGCAGGGGGGGTGTTCAGAAAAGAGCTGGCTCTCCGAGCGGCTGCTGTGCTAACATTGTGCTGGATACCCAACAGCAGCAGATCCAGAAATGGAAGAAGCTCCAACAAAAATATTCCACATATGTTTGCTGTGCCAAAGTCTACTCTTAGCTCAGCTGGTTTAAAAATGGTGGGAGAACAACTGAAAGAGCTAGAGTTGCCCCGGATTTGCAGTGATGTATCGCTGAGCAAAGCAGTGCTCATTGGCAGCCACCTGCTTGCAAAGTCTCCTTGGAACAAAAATTGCATATGGTAGCAGTTATCTAGTCTTCTAGCAGGTGTCTGACCTGAAGAGAGGAAGGGATTTGACATGGTCGTCACTGCTTATTATCTATCTATCTATCTATCTGTCTATCCATCTATCATGGCCCGTCGCTCTGACATCTCAGTGTTCAGGTTCAACCAGAGCATCCCTGCTATTTGGAGTCCATCCAAGTCTTTTCAGCACTGTGAAAAAAACATCCCCACATAAATAATATGGTGTGGAGAGAGAGAGCTGAGCAGGCCACTGTTTCCCAGGTGCATCCAGCCCCCTTGAAGCCCAAATTTTCAGGCCAGAGAGACTGGCTTCCAGTCCCCAGGAGATCTCCAAAAGGACAATGAAGAGTTATTGCTACTAGGCACCCCCTGTTGCTGGCTGGAAGTGTGTGTGTGTGTGGGGGGGGGGGTTATGAGGACCACTGGTCCTCCAGTCAAAAATGGAACCAGTTAATGAAAGAAGGTTGCTTTAGAGATTCAAAAGCTAGCCCCAATTTGGAAAAAAGCCACTGTTACAGGGCAGTCAGATAGATCTGTCTGTTGTGTCCACCTCGCAGGCCTCACTTCCTCCTTTGTGTCCTGGTGGCGTTGCACTGAATGAATAGGTGATCTTAAAAATCTGCCTTAAAGGTGTGGCTGGGTAGCAAGGATTGAGAGTGTGCAAGCTTCTCCGCGCTGGGGAAATTGTCAGCACTATCACGCCATGTGAAAGTACAGTCCTGATCAACGAAAATCTCCAATGCAGATAGCAGGGCAGAGAGTGTGGCGGGGGGGGGTCTGCTGTTTCTTGTGGTTATCTATAGTCCTATTCACTTCATGAACTAATCACCGTCTCCAGGCGTGGCCAGTCTAGGCATCCACTAATGAATGCTCCTTGACCATGTGATGTAAATCTTACATATGGAAGCAGGTGGATAGCGCCAGATCTTACCCCACGCTGCTCAAGTCCTTGAAAATGCATTAGTGCTTCTGCTTCTGCAGCACTCTCCCTCTTCATGGTAGTACTAAGTCACAAAAAAGCAGTGACAAGGAGGAGGACTCTCCCACCTTTGGTGTTAGCAGTTCTGCAGGGACTCAAACAGGATGGAGCGGGATTGCACTGACATACCCATTTTCACTTAAACATCGAAGGCTGCAAACAGATGTTGCATTTATCTCGGGATAAACCATTTTGTCCCCTGACAAAATGCAAGTTTACACACATCCATGCCTGTTGTCTCAGGGGAAATACTAAAAAAAAAGATTCCCAGATAAGAAGTAGTGACAGTTTATCCTGGGATATTGCAAAGTATGTCTGTACAGTTATCCCAGGATTACATCATTCAATCAATGACAGAAAATCATTTAAAAAAATTAAAAATCAATGACAGACATCATTGAATCAATGACACTCACTAAACCCTGATTAGAAAGGTGATGTGTGTACACACCAATCCCAGGATATTTTTATTCTGCAACAAGCATAGGCACAACTTACCCAGGACAAATGCAATGTCTGTTCATAGCCAAATAGCTGGTATAGGATCTGGCTCGGGGTCATTTGTCAGGAAAGAGTGGGATTTCTAAACGTCGAGATCCATCTTCCTGGTCAAGAACAAAGCCTCTAGAAACAGTAGCTGGTAGCTACTCATCTCTGAATGACGCGTTCTTGTTATGTCTGAAAGAAGAGCATTAATGGTCTATTGGTGATTTAGACCGACAGCAACTTTTAGGAAGAGCTAAATGCAATGGTAGTGCACAGCCGGACAGGGGATGTCAACATGGGATCTCATGAAACAGTCAGTGGATATCACAGCTGATCCTGCTCCATGGGAGTCAATGGGAGCTATGTTGATCCCTTGAAAGAGAACCAGATCAGAGCCCCCCACCCACCAACACACAGCATATGGGCACAGCACTTACTGACTGATGGCTCAGGCCAAGCCAGGTCAGGAATCTTGTTAGCCAATGACTTCCAACCTTTGATTGACTCTTTCATGGGTGCCACCCGCCGTGACGCTCCAAATTTCTGTTGAGACAACAAGGGTCTCGACAAGAAGTGCGAGCAAATGATTTGCCCCAAATCTTCACAGTACTGTGCAGTTAGAGTAATTCCACTAAGAGAAGGCTGTGGATGCTTCTGCATCAGGAAAGGGAGGTGGAAGACAGAGAAAGCAGATCTCACCTTCACGGGACCCTCAGCATCATTAGTGCCCTGACCTCTTGTAGACATTCATGAACAGCCAAAGGCAGGGAGCAGATGCATGTAGATGCATGCATGCATTTTGTTCTCAAAGACAAGCAGTCCTGCAGCTCATGAGACTTGCTGAGAGGTAGGGATTAGACCAGAGAGGCGATGCTGAGGAATACCAGGTAGCAGTATTGGGCTGTAGACCACGCTCTTTCCAAGGGCAGGCAGTTCATTCAGCTACTGGCAAGTGCTCAGTGTTGTCCTTTGAGAGGGACGGCGCTAGGTCTGCATCTCATCCTGGTCAGCAGCTGACATTGGGTTGCAGAGTCCTGTAGGAGGATGAGGATGGGTGGCTCTGTGAGACGCACAGGCCAGCTCCAGCCTAGCGGTACCAAACATGTGGGTGCTTGGGGAGGACACTCATGGCTAAAGCAGAGGGAGGGCTTCTTGTCCACTACATGATCTACCTGCCTCACATCTACCCAGGCCCTCTTGATCACTGGCTCGGCCACTTCCCTGTCCAGACCCCACTGGTCACCAGTGAAACAGATGCACGGTGAGGGCGACGCAGTCTGCCGTGATCAAGCACTGATGTCTATTGAGCTAAAGGAGGAATCCCATGAGCTGCAATAGCCAGTTGCATCGGGGTTTGTGTTTGCTTTTTCTAATGGCCCCCAGGGACCCGGCTGTTGTGCCAGATGCTCCCTGCTTTCTCCAACAAAACCAAAATGCTCAGCCCCAAGGATAGCAAGCTGCTCCAGGGCCACAGAGCCTTGTCACGGCAGCTGCATCCCCACTCAGGACACAGGCCTTACCTATACAACTTGAGCATGTACAAAGTGCATGTGTAGGAGAAGGGCCATGCAACCGTGCATCACAGGTGACAACACACAGCATCAAGATGTCCCCAGAGCTGCGTGATGTACAGCCCAGCCGGGTGGGATTTATTCTGCCTCCTCTTTTCCAATCCCCCGGCGATGACTGTGATGAAGGAGAGTATTAGCTCCAGTAGTCACGAGTCCAGTCAATCCACTGTGGGGTAGTCCATATAGCTGCGTACAAAAAAAATAGTCCTGTGCAAAGCAGCCCCAGCTACCCATGCACCCGGCATGGAGAAAATAGTATTGATCTTCCTCACGGGTAGGGTTGACCTAAGAGATTAAACAGCCACTGCAGGGAACAGTTATACCAGTTCATAGAGCTGTTGCTTTAGCTCAAAGGGAAATGATCGAGCTATGAGTGCTGATGGTCTAGGATTCAGATGGGGATGGAAGAGTGATTGAATACACCTGGGATTTACTTTACCGTGATAAGCAAGTAGTTCTCTCCTTCCTGCACAGAGGGGAAGGGTCTGCAGAAAGGAAAAGAGGGAAACATTGAGACGGGTAGCGGCAGATTGCCTTCAGCCCGGGGAGAGAGAGATGTGTAGGAGAAGGGCAATGCAACCGTGCATCACAGGTGACAACACACAGCGCCAAGATGTCCCCAGAGCTGCGTGCATGAGTGCTGGGGCTCCAGCATCCCGGGCCCCCTTGCTCCATAGCGTGCCGGGGCTGGAGCTGCATACAGGCCAGCCACTGTTTCCTGGGACGCTGTGATCTGTAACAACCCCCCCCATTGGCAACCATCCTCCCCTCGCTCTCCTCCCCACCTACCTCCCCGCTCCTTTCCTCCCCTCCTTCCCCATGTTCATTCTAAGTGGTTTTGCATGTTGTGGCTTGGCCCCAAATTAGCTCATTAAATGCCGCGCCTTGCCTCCTGTTTTGACAGGTTTTGTGAGTTTTGACAATCCTGCCAGTGCCCAGGCTGCCATCCAGGCTATGAACGGCTTCCAGATTGGCATGAAGAGGCTGAAGGTGCAGCTGAAGAGGCCGAAGGATGCTAACCGCCCCTACTGAAGAGTTGTAGGAACCGCTGGATACAAAGGACTAGCACAGGTAACCGCATGGGGCGGGGGACGTCACCTGTTGTCTTAGAGCATTTCTTGTGCCGTGGACCCTAGAGATTAGCTCTGCGATTCTCCAACTTTGAGCGTTTCCACGAGGCCTCTGGCTACAGCCACACCACACCCATGCACACACAAAACGAGACTATTTGTGCGTGCACCTCATTAGCAAGAGAGACAGAAAGATGCTTAATGAGGGCGGGGGGGATTTCCCCCAGCCCGGCAGCCTCACACGTCCATAATGAATCGACCTGGCCACTGACGGGGGATAGCAGCTGTTTCGGTTACCGGCTCAGCTAAAGGAAGGATTTGTGTGGCTGAAGAAAACCTGCAATTAAGACCTGGGACAAGGCTGCAGTTTAATTGCAGGGAGCTGGCCTGGCCTGGCCTGGCGTGTATCTCCATAGCTCTGTGTTGCAACGTTACAAAGCGTTTTTCATTCTTCATGCAGTATAGTCTGTATCCAATTTCATCTCAGCATAATAAATACCTGTAAATACATCTCCTTGACAGCTAAATAACCCCTAATTTCTTCCTTCCTAAACCCAAGAAATTAATAAAAGGATTCCTGCTCAGGTCCTTACTCAGCTTTTGTTAACTCCTTACTCAGACAAAACGCCCTCAGAAACTAACAGCTCCGTGCTGGAGGGAGGACTTAGCAAAAACTGAACAAGGGTTGCAGGATTCACCCCCTGAATATTAAAATTGTTGCAGTGGGAAGGAGCTCGCTCGGCTCGTAGAGGGAGCTTCTGAGCACCTATAGCAGTAACCAAAAATCACCAAAGTAGACAAGTGAGTCCCTGGAAGTCCAGCCTCTTGCCAACAACAAAATGGAGTCTATAAATTGGATACCATCCCTTACCTAAGTGATCCAGGAGACTAGTTTCCATCTTTGGAAGTCATTTAGGCCCCTTCCTATGAAGATTTGTAGGTGTCTAACTCCCACAGGTTTTTTCTATGGGAAGTAGGCGCCTACATACTTATATGAGCACATCTGGGCCCTAGGTACCGATGGGACTTAACCTCTATGTGAATTTTCAACATGAGACTAAGGCTGTTAAGCCACTCTGAGGCTTTTCAAACTCTGACCCTTTTTGCTTAAGAGCAACCTCTTGGCTTTCTTTTCAAATACAGAGTAACAGCAGCAATAATACCACTCAACCCATTAGCTACCAGCAGGGCCTTGGCACGGGACACATTCACATCAGTGTAAACTGCCTTGACACCGGTATAAAAAAAAGAGCAGACACATTCTGCAAACCCCTATCCCAGTGTAAATTATTAGATTCAGGGAAAAACCATGTTAGTCTAGTGGTTATACCTTTCTGTTATACTAGGTTATATAACTAGGTTATATATATATATATATATATACACACACACACACATATATATGTATGTATGTATGTATATGTATATATATATAAAAAGTATACCTGTTAACCGGTTATACCTAGTTATACCTTCCTGTTTGGGCAAGCATTTTGCAACCCAAACTAAGCCGAGGTATTGCTTACTGGGTCTCTGCTTTATTTTATTTTATTTTTATGCTTTATCTATTCTAGTGTCTTTTTTAAGTGGTCGTGTTTCCCTTGCTTTACGGTGCCCTGAGCCATGGCTGGGAAGGGTGGAATAAATAAAGAAATCATGCCAGTATCGGTGTCATGCATCAAACAGCTATCCCAGACTAGCCACTGACTCAAGGCATATGTTTCCCTGCTATCTAGTGGCAAGGTGCTATGACGGCACCTAGGCCAGGCAGCTACCCTGGGATAACTGGTTGTCTGTCTGTTCTGGAAACCAGTGCAATGTGCATCTGTATAGAAAACGGACCCGATTTACACTGATGTTAATATGTTTTGTGCCAGCCCTGATATAGAGCCACATGCGGATGGGTGGAGCGAAGGCAGACTACTGCAATAGGAGAGCACTAGTATTTCCACTAGCTTTTGTGTGTGTAATGTGGTGGCACTGAACCATCATAGATGATAGCTCATTTCCTGGCATTGGTGGCCACAGGCATCCCTTTTTGGAAAGCTTGTGGCCTTGGTGTGTGATTTGGCAAGGTGCGTTGTGGCAGCCCATGGTAAGGCAAGCGAACTCTTCTCAACCCATTCAGCAGAACTTGCTGCTGACCCTCTGTAAGTCCATTCACCTCCTTCCCTGCTGGCACCAAAATGGTTTGCATTTTCACTGTTATTGGCTGGTTTCTCCATTAGATACTTCCTAGAAAAAAAAAATATGGTTGGATTTTGTATTATGGAAATGAGGAAGCCACTTAAAAACTCATATGGGAAATGTTAGAATAAGACCCATCTAGAGAGGCCCCCGAAACCACAAAGCATAGTTTTAGATTCCCAAATTGTCCTTATGTGTGTGAGTTTGGAGAGCTAAGATTTTTAAGTCGGGCCATTATAAAAATGAGAGAGTAACCAGCAAGTTTTAACTTTTAACTTTTAAAATTTAACTTTTCCCCCCACACTGCATGGTTTCTCTGATTCTGGTTTTTCCATCTTTAATTGAATATATAATATCCTTAAAAATACTTTATTCTAGTCTTCAGAGAAGATCTCTGTTCCCTTGAGAATCAAGGAATGGAACTGAATTATCCCTTAAGGAAACTGCATTGGAGACCAGACGTGAAGAGAATTAAGAAAGCCCCTCTCAATAAATGCATTAGGTTCATGTATTATTTTTACATTTCTTTGGATCTCTCAAGTGATAATGGCTCGAGATCCAGCCTCCGTAACCTAAGATCTCCTTTGTATATTATTATACAAAGCTGAGCATCAAACTATTTCCCCACCCTTTTTAAAATAGCTCTTTTCTTTTCCTTGCTTGCGACAAGGCCTCCTGGAGGCTTGAAACCGAAATGTGTTTCCATCTCCAAATGCTTTTTTGCTTCATCACGCTGGCTTGTTCTTGCAGGTTTTTGCTCAGAAGGGCTGGGGGAAGGGAAGTGCATGCATGCTAATTTGTTCACGGAGGGCATATAACTCGGTGGAGGAGATTTTCAATAGCTCCTAATGGATTTATGAACACAAGTTCCACTGTGTTTTGAAAATCTCTCCCTGAGCGTTGGGCTCCGCACATTGGCTTCTTACTACAGGATAGCTCTGAGCACTGAGAGAGTGCACGCTTGTTTGTTACTAGTGCGATGCTTGTCTGCTGTTACAGATGGGTCGTGAGCCCTGGGGGGGGCACAAGCTGCTTTTGGTTACCGTAAGGTTGCCCTTAAGTATGAAGTCAGCTCTGGTGATTTGCTAGGGCAGATCCTGATGGCAGAGCTGCACGCGCTGGCTCGTTGCAAGAGGACTGCTGATGGAGAGGGCTAGCAGGAGCAACATTTCTGCACGAGCACCTCGAATGGATGAGTCCCTGGACCTCCCACACAGCTCGGGGGTTCACTTGGCTGTTCTCGAGTTTTCCGCTGAAGTTGGTCTAGCTGCTTGCACCCTGTTACTGAACCTGACTGTCGAGTCCAGCCAAATGCAGTCCCGATCCCAGTCGGACGGTGCCTAACTAAGCACTCGTTATTTCCTCTGGTCTCAGCTTTTGGTGTAAATGTCAGACGGGCTGAGGACTGGCCTCCCTTTTAGCCAGAGAAATTTCTCCTGGAAACATGTGCTTGAATCTTGTCGCCTCACCAGTGAAGAGCAAGCGTGTACATCAGTGAGACACCCCGTTGCCTGCCTGATATGCAACCACAGGTGCAGGGCCAGATTACGTCCTAAGCTCTGTCCAGCTTCAGAGGCCCCATCTGAAAGACATTATCCACAAAATCCATGAAAATGGATTTTCATGACATTTTAAGATTAATTATTGTTATTCTTGCACAAATTTATGAACACAATATGAATCATAACCATGGAGCCATATATAGGTATAGTTTTGTCCTATTAGAACAAAAATGTCCAGGTTTTTTTACATATTTAGAGGCTCCTCACATTGTGAGGCCCTAAGATGTAGCTTAAGTAGTTTAAGCCTAAATCCGGCACCGTACAGGTGGAAGACATGCCACCCTTTCGAGAGGATGGCCCTTTCACGGGGCACTGGAGGGGGATATTGGGAAGGGATTGTGAAGGTAATCACTCGGCAGTTTAGAAAGGAAAGAAAATTCCCCCTCAAGAAGACAGCATAGAAAAAGGTAATGTTTGGATGCAGGGTTTTGGTGCAAGTCCTTCTCTGCTGCAGTGAGAATAAGAGGTATTGTCCATCCAGCAGGTCCACTGGAGGTCAGTCGGTAGACAGCACTGATGTAACAACATGTTTCCAAAAGGTATTCAGTACTGCCATGTGCATGGAAGCTATGAAGGCATGCCAATGATAGTAGGTAGGTAGGTAGGTTGGTGCCAGATAGCTTGAAGGTAACACAGGCACTGAACTAACAACCCGTCATACAATAGCCTTGCTTATAATCTACATAACACTTAGTGTCCCTCGTTCACAAAGGGCACGTCTACACGTTCATGAATGTGCCTTAGTTACTGCACATTTAGTTTAGTACTTGCCTAATGAAGTACTAAGCACTAATTAAACTAAACTAAGTACTAACTTCAGTTACTGAAGTTACTGTGCAATAGTGCCAGCACACCGTTATTTTGTGACGTTTACTGTGCATTAGCCTAATACCACTGTGCAATAACATATTAGCACAATTTTTGACTGCCACGCCACTGCACAGCGGTATTAGGCTAATGCGCAGTAAATGTCTCATGTAGACGTGCCCAAAGAGGCTTTGTCTCGGGCCTAGCCTGAAGCGCACAAATAGTCCCATTGACTCCTGTGCAGTTACTCATGGGCTTGAAGTTAGGCCTGTGCTCAAGGATCTTTCTGAATTTGAGGCTTTTCCAAGAAAAAGACCTTCCTTTACCAAATCAGGAAACTGCCTGCAGAAGCCTGAGCTGCATCCAGGCTGACAGACTACATCAGAGATGGCTCTTTCCCCGCCACTGAGAAAGAAAAAAAAATCTCCCCTCAATTAATTTTCTT